TTCCCACCTGTAGGTACACAGGGGCTCGGGGTTTAGCCTGGGCACTAAGGGACTTACAACAAGCTGAGCATGGAAGCACACGTCAGCACACGTCTATAATCCCAGTACTTGTGAGGCAGGAGAATCATGAGTTCAATGTCTGTCCAGGCTGTATCACAAGATCTCCACCAGTCTTGGCTACACAGAGAAAACCTGACTCCGAACGAAACAAACAAAAGGCAGGCTAAGTTATATCTAACATGAAAGGCATGCGAGGGTTGCGAGAGGGCTCCGTGGTAAAAGCACTTGCTACACAGGGCTGGCAACCTGAGCTCAATGCCTGAAACCCACAGTGCAAGGGGAGAAATGGCCCTTCAAAGTGCCCTCTGGCGTCCACATGCGTACCATGGCCTGTGTATGTTTGCACGCATGCATACACATTACTCACACACATGAAATCAACACATGCTACACATATGCTGGATGCTTATCAATGTATTTGTTATAATTTTTCTAAAAAAAAGTATACAACTAACCTCTTAATCTTACTAAGCAAACATTATCTGTCTTGAATGAGTAACTAAATGGATCTAGTATGTACTGGACAATTAGCATGTTAAACATGATTTCACAAAAGTTATTGTTTAAACCAAGTTACATTTTTATTTATTTCTTGTGTCTCACTATGTATCCCTCACTTGCCTATAACTCACTATAATAGACCAGGTTAGCCCTGGGTGATCCTCCCCTCTCTACCTCCTAAGTACTCGGGATTCAGGCATGCACCACCATGCCTGGCTAAGGTATACATATATTTGTATAAGAAAAGATAGAGAACAATGAAGCGACACACACACACACACATATCCTAAATCCTGAATCTACAAAAATGTCTGATTTGAAAGCTTACTCCTTTTTAATAACATTTATACATTTTTTAATTTTTTTATATTTATTTATTATGTGTTGGGCATGAGTAGATCAACTTGCTGATTTTCTCTACCATGTGGGTTCCAGGCTTCAAACTCAGCTCATTAGACTTCACGACAAGCACCTTTACCTGCTGAGTCATCCTATTCAATTTATTAATTTATTATTTTTAAATTTATTTATTTATTTTTTGTGGTTTTTGCGAGACAGGGTTTCTCTGTATTGTTTTGGACACTGTCGGTCCAGCCCGGCCTCGAACTCACAGAGATCTGCCTGCCTCTGCCTCCCGAGTGCTGGGATTAAAGGCGTGCGCCACCACCGCCGGGCCAACTTCTTTTTTAAAGCAGGGTCTCATTTAGCTCCGTCTGTCCTTGAACTCACTATGTCACTGGGGTTGAGTTTCAAATCCTAAATCTTAAAACAAATTACACTAGTGCTGGTGTAGTGGTGCATGCCTTTAATCCCAGCACTGGAGAGACCGTGTCTCAAAAAAAAAAAAAAACCCACTTTAAAAAAAAACCCAAACAAACAAACAACTACAACAAAAAGACAAAGAAACATAAATTACACAGAAGCTGGGCATGATAATTCTCTCCTTTAATTCTAGCATTTGGGAGGCAGAGGCAAGATTGCTATGAGTTTGATTCAGCCTTGACTATCGTGCAAGACCATGTTTCTCAAAATTCACACTATAAAATATAACTGAGGGAGCGAGATACTGAGCCAGGCAGGGTGAGGCACGCCTTTAACCCCAACACTTGGAAGGCAGAGGCAGGAGAACCAGACGTGCAAGACCAGACTGGATTACATAATCTCAAAAAAATAAAATAATCTCATATGTATATATGTCATTCATCTGGTGGCAGAGTCTTTTTTTTAAAGAATCAGTATTCCTTGGTTGGACCTGGAATAATTAAAACCCACAGAAGTCTGAGAAATATGTGCAGCTGGTCTATCAAGGAGCCAAGAATCATTTACCGTCACCACAATTTCTTTCCCTTCCCAGACCTCAGGATGTAATATCTGAGGATCAGGAATGTAGGCCCAATAATTCTCACTCTGACACGTGTGGGGTAGCACCAGCAGCCACAGCACCGTCAGGGCTTGGTACTCCTCTGCTCCACACACCACACCAGATGTTTAGGCAGCCATCGGCCTCATTTTCTTCCCGTGGAAAAACACAAACATTCCCTCATCCTCATAGTAAAACAGGGTCGGAGCCCTTCCATAAGCCGGTAGATGGGTCTTTCCATTTAAACTGAGCAATATTCTTGTGGTGTCTTCATGCCAAAATTGATCAGCTGCATCCACATTTATAAAAGTTTAAAACTAACAAGGCACGATTCAATGCATTACGTGGTAACTGAGGGTATAATTTCCCAGTTTTTAATTTTTGAAGTTGCACCTTCAGAGTGCCATGGGCCCATTCCACAATCCCTTGTCCTTGAGAATTATAAGGGATGCCTGTTTTATGCTCAGTTTTCCATTGAGGACAACATTGATGAAATGCTTTACTAATATATTGGAGATATTATCAGTTTTCGGTATTTCCATATAGTAAAAACATCTTAGACATCTTAGACAATGAGCAATTATATATTTAGTGCCTTCACCAGATTGTGCACTTGTCCTTAGAAATCCTGAATAGGTAACAATTTTCACATGCACATGTTTCAATTTTCCCAATCCCATGACACGAGTAACACCTATTGGCCATGAGTGATTAGGAAAGAAGACCTCAAGGATTTACTCCACAGGGAGGCCCAGGCAAACGCTGTGGATGCACAGCACAGCGTTTTACAATTTGATGAGCAGTTTCTCTTGTGAAACCAGACTGCATCTTTGGGCTTTTACTGTTTTGATTATGTAAAGCATGTGATTGCTGAGCAAGCTCATCTTGAGATAACGCCATCAACCGAGTAAACTTACCAGATAAAGCATTACCTTCAGCCAATGAGCCAGGAAGAGCCGTGCCTGCTCTAATATGACCCACAAGACATGGTAACTTTCTTTAATGAATAATAGCCTGAATTTGATGGGGTAAAACCTGAATATTATTACTAGTCCCAATACATGGAATAGTTCCTATAACTTGAAGGGCTCTAAAAATATAATGACTATCAGTATATGAATTAAATGAACTATTCATAAGAAGTTTAAAAGCCATGGCAACAGCTCATAGCTCAACTGTTTGAGCTGAAGCTAGTGCTGTTTGTACAAATACCCTTTACCATAAATAACATAAGCTGCTCTTCCATTGGAAGAATCGTTAGTAAAAACTAACAGCATCTCTCATAGGATCTGTCATAATATCTTTAGGAGAAATAAAAGAATACATTCGTGAAAATTGCAATAACCTATCAGCAGGAAAATAATTATCAAATCACCTTGTAAATTGCACACATCCAACGGCCCAAGAATCATCATTTTGAAACAACCAATCAACTTCTTGTTTAGTGTAAGGTACATAATAGTGCAGGGCTCTTTTCCAAAATATCTTCGAGATTCTACAGAGTCATAATATGGATTTAAAGCTTTAACTGGTGAAACAGGAAGATATAAACGTAAAAGAGAACTGCTGTAGGATTAAGTCTTGTTGGCAAAATAAATGCTTGCCAAAGTTGATTATGATTAACATAATGCTCCTGCTGTTCTTGAGTAGCATTTTCAACCTGTAAAACTGTCTACCTTGTTCAGTCAATTGCCTGGATGATTAGGATCACCATCTCCCTTCAAAATCTCACTTAAAGGTGCCAAATCTCCAGTAGAGAATTTTAAATAAGGCCGCAACAATTGAATATCCCCTAACAGCTTTTGAAAATCATTTAAAGTCTTTAACCCATCTTTTCTTATTTCCAATTTGAGGCTTATACTACATGTCCTAAATACTGAAAAGGTGGCTCCTTTTGAACATTTTCAGGGACTATAATTAACCCTGCATGAGCTAAATCTTGCTGCAATTGATGGTAAGTAGCTAATAAAAAGTCTCATTCTTATAAGCAAGCATAATATCATCCATATAATGAGTAATATAAACTTGTGGAAACTGACTCCTAGTTCTTTGTATGGCTTGAGCCACAAATTTTTGACATAATGGAGGGCTATTGGCCATCCCTTGAGGTAAAACTCTCCACTGATATCTCTCCGTGGGTTCTTTAAAATTTATACATGGAATACCAGATGCAAACAGTTGACAATCTTGAAGAGCCAAAGGAATTGTATAAAAGCAATCTTTTAGATCTAATGTAATTTTATATGTATTGCCTGGAATAGCAGCAGGAGAGGGTAAACCAGGCTGTAAAGCTCCCATTAATTGCATTGTTTCATTTACTTTTTAAAGATCTTGTAACAGTTTCCATTTGCCTGATTTCTTTTTTCTGATAAAAATTGGAGAGTTCCAAGGAGACTCCGAAGGCTCAATATGGCCATTATGCAGTTTCTTAGTTAAAGAACTTCCCCAGTCCCCTTTCTTCCTCCCTAAATGCTTCCCATGGCTGTTGTTCAACATTCGTGGTAAAAAAAAAATGGGCACAGAGAAAAATCTGCACTGTGATACTTCACCGCCTCTGTGTCTAAATCTATCTCATCATCAGAATACGACTGCTTATCATTATCAGGGAGCTTTGCGGGAGTATCCGCATAAAGCGGGTCCTCCCAGGGAGCAGGAGTTTTAGTTAAGTTAGAAAATGTCTTCTGCCGGTCAGAACGAAGATCCAGACTATCCCTGATGAGTGTTCAGAGGCTAAAAACATCTACTGGAATTTTTTTGGACCATGTGCATCATAATATTGTTGTATTTTAACTCCTATATGGCCCCCAAGTATCTGAGTCCAAGGTTCCTTGCTCAGGATACCAAGGACAAATCTTCTCTACAGATTCTAAAAATTTACACAGTTGCTGATGTCCAACTTAAGTACCTCTAGCTTTCAAAATATTTTTAAGCAAGTGTACAAACAGCTGTTTACTGTTTATTTGGCCCGTGTTTCACTTTTTGTTTATGTGTGAGTCTCTTCATTGTATTTACACCGCACACTGCTTTTTATATTTATTTATACCACACGGGCTCTGCTTTACACTCCCGAGTTACTCACCATAATCCCATTTTTTTCTGAGCACTCTCATGGAATCCTCTGTAGTCAGGCCTCACGACTGGGCGACTGTGGGAGCCTGCTCCAAGGAGTCAGCTGGGTTCCCTGAAACAGGGGTAGGCGTTAAGACAAACAACACAAAGACAACCAGACAGAGTCAGGAGGATTGTCACTTGATGCCTCTCAGAACACCGAACAGCCATGAGTTCCTGTCAGAGCCTGCTTATATACAGACCAAAGGCAGAAGGCAGAACAAAGCAGAGCATAGTCAGTTGAGCACCTCCTTATCCTGTCTTTGAGTCAAAGAAGCAGCGATGTCACTGTTACATGCCTCCAGCAGCCTGACGTTTCATTGTCTTTCACACTAACGCCAGCTGTGTCAGCAGCCTGCGTCTTTACTGGATCCTGTGTTCTTTCTTATAAGCCTAATCGGAACTTTCTCACAGCTCTCAAGGAGACTGGAGCAAGCAAGCTGAACTTACGAGTCAGAATAGACTCCGGATGGAAACTGAAGTCACTTGTGGGCTCCCACACCCTACTCGCCTAAGAACCAGAGAGGGCAACAGAAACCAAGGAATGAACCCTGACCCCACAAAGACCAGAGCAGGTATCAGCGCTTACAATTACAATTCTTCCCATCCCAGATGCCTTGACGCCAGCATAAAAACACACCGGCCAGGACAATGTCTCTCCACTCAAGCTCAGCAGCCCTGCTGCAGTAGGCCCTGAGAAAGGAAATACGGACAAGCACAGGACAAGGTCTTCAAAACAGCCTTTATGAAAACGATAGAGCCCTTAAAGAGGAAATGAAGAGACCCATGAAAGAAATCTATGAAATACAAACAAACAGTGGACGACATGAAATGAATAAAGCCATTCAAGACCACCCACAGTGAGGAGGCTCTCTTCTCAGCCTGGACTCTTGGGGGAGGGCCTAGGCCCTGCCCTGGATGAAATGACAGGCTCTGGAGATCCTCCATGGAGAGCCTCACTCTCCCTGGGGATCAGAGTGGAGATTGGGAGGGGGGTTGGGGGTCTGTAAGGGGGGGTAGAGGAGGAGGGGCGGGAGAGGGAGCTGGGGTTGACATGTGAAGCAAACTTGTTTCTAATTTAAATTTTAAAAAATGAAAAAAACCATTCAAGACATGAAGGTGAGAATAGAATCAATAAAGAAAACCCAGACTGAGGGAAATCTGGAAATGAAAAGTTTAGGAATCTCAGAGGCAAGCTTCATCAATGGAATACAAGAGCTAGAAGAGATAGAATCTCAGGCATAGAAGACACAATAGGAGAAATGGATACATCAGTCAGAGAAAATGTTAATTCTAAAAAAAATCCTGGCACAAACATCTAGGAAATCTGGGACACTCTGAAAAGACTGAATATACAAATAATGGGAATAGAAGAAGGAGAAGAAACCCAAGTCAACTATTTTCAACAAAACCAGAAGAAAAATTCCTACCCTAAAGAAGGACATGCCTGTTGAGGTACAAGAAGCATAAAGATCACCAAAAATAGACTGGACCAGAAAAGGAAGTCCCCTCAGCACATAATAATCAAAGCACTAACTGTACAGAACAAAGAAAGAATATTAAAAGCGTCAAGGGAAAAAGACCAATCACATATGAAGATAGACCCATTAGAGTAACACCTGACTTCTCAGTGGAGACTCTAAAACCCAGAAGTTCCTGCACAGATGTCCTGTAGACTCTAAGAGACTACAGATGCCAGCCCAGACTACTGTACCCAGAAAAACTTGCTGTCACAGAAGATGGAGAAAAGAAGACACTCCATGATAAAACCAAACTTAAGCATTATCTATCTACAAATCCAGCCCTACTGGAGATGCTAGAAGGAACACTCCCACCTAAAGAGGTTAACTGTGCTCAAGGAATAAATAATCCTGACTGCCAAACCAAGGAGAGGGGCACACCACAACAAGAAAACAGCAGGAATCAACAAACACTGCTCATTGATAACTCCCAACACCAGTGGTCTCAAGTCCCCCAACAAAAAGACGCAGACTCACAGAATGGATGCAAAAACAGGATCCATCCTTCTGTTGCATCTAAGAAACACACCATAACATCAAGGATAGACATCATCTCAGGATAAAAGGGTGAAAAGAGAGATTCCAAGCAAATGGACCTAATAAGCAGCCAGTATAGGCATTTTAATATTTAACAAAACAGACTTCAAATCAGAATTAACCAGAAGAGAGAGGAAAGAACACTACATACTTACCAAAGCAAAAATCCACCAAGAGGACATTTCAGTTCTTAACATCTATGCCTCAAACACAAGGGCACCCAAGTTCACAAAAGACACATTACTACAACTTCAGTCACATACTGACCCTCACACCTTGATAGTGGGAGACTGCAATACCCCATTCTCACCTATAGATAGGTCATTCAGACAAAAACTAAACAGAAATGCTGGAGCTACCAGATATTACAAACCAAATGGAGCTAACAGATATTTACAGAACATTTCACCCAAATATAAAAGAATATATCTTCTTCTCAGTACCTCATGGAACTTTCCCCCAAATTGACCACATACGCAGTCATAAAGCAAGTCTCAACAGACACCAGAAAACTGAGCTAACGCTCTGCATCTTATCTGACCACCATGGATTAACACTGGATATCAAGAACAACAGAACCAACCGAAAGCTTACAAACTTATGGAAACTGAACAACTCTACTGGGTGAAAAATAGATCAAGACAGAAATTAGGAAAGGAATCAAATACTTTCTAGAATCCAATGAAATGAATACACAGCATATCCAAACTTAAGGGATTCGATTAGGGTAATTCCAAGAGACAAATTCATAGCATTAAGTGCCTATAAAAAAATGAGCAGGCAAGCCGGGCAGTGGTGGCGCACGCCTTTAATCCCAGCACTCGGGAGGCAGAGGTAGGCAGATCTCTGTGAGTTCGAGGCCGGGCTGGACCGACAGCCCCCAAAACAATACAGAGAAACCCTGTCTCGTAAAAACCAAAAAAAAAAAAAAAAATGAGCAGGTGGTAGTGGCTTATGCTTTTAATCCCAAGATCCAAGAGGCAGAGGCAAGTGGATCTCTGCGAGTTCAAGGCCAGCCTGGTTTACCAAGCAAGTTCTAGGACAGCCAGCACTGTTACACAGAGAAACCCTGCCTCAAAAAGCAAAACAAACAAACAAACAAAAACCAACACAAAAAAACTGAGAGACAGAGAGAGAGACAGACAGAGAGAGAGAGAGAGAGAGAGAGAGAGAGAGAGAGAGAGAGAGAGAGAGAGATTTCATACTAGCAATTTAAGGCACACCTGAAAGTTCAAGAACAAAAAGAAGAAATAACATCCAAAAGGAATAAAAGATAAGACATAATCAAATTTAGAGCTGAAATCAATAAAATAAATCAAATCAACAAGAATAATGAAACAAAGAGTAGGTTCTTTGAGAACATCACTAAGATTGACAAATCTTAGCAAAATTAACTAAAAGGTGAAAAGAAAAGATCCAAATTAATAAAATTAAAGATGAAAAGGGGGACATAACAGACACTGAGGAAATCAAGAGAATCACAATGTACAGCTTAGAAACCTGTACACCACAAAATTAAAACATCTAAGAGAAATGGACAACTTTCTTAAAAAATAACACCTAGCAAATTTAAATCAAGAGCAGATAAGCAATTTAAACAGACCTATGACCCTAGTGAAATACAAGCTGCAATTAAAAGTCTCCCAGCCTAAAGAACCAAGGCTAGACATTTTTTTTTTTTGGTTTTACGAGACAGGTTTCTCTGTTTTGGAGGCTGTCGGTCCAGCCCGGCCTCGAACTCACAGAGATCCGCCTGTCTCTGTCTCCCGAGTGCTGGGATTAAAGGCGTGCGCCACCAACGCACGGCCAAGGCTAGACATTTTTAATGCAGAAAGCTATCAGACTTTCAAAGAAGAGTTAATGCAAATACTCTTTAAATTATACAAAATAGAAAGAGAAGGAACATTGCCTAATTCATTCTATGAGGCCACAGTTACCCTGGTACCCAAACCACACAAAGACTCAATAAAGAAAAGGAATTACAGACCAATTTCCCTGATGAACAAAGATACACAATACTTGCAAACACAATACTTGCAAATCAAATCCAGGAACACATCAAAGAGATCACACACCATGATTAAGTAGGCCTCATCCCAGAGATGCAGGACTGGTTCAATACACAAAAATCAATAAATGTAATACACCCTATAAACAGAGTAAAGACAAAACCTCATGATCCTCTCATTAGATGCAGAAAGGGTCTTTTATAAAACCCAACACCCCTTCATGATAAAAGTCACAGAGGGACATACCTCACTATAATAAAGACAATTTACAGCAAGCCCACAACCAGAGTCAACATAAATCACTAATTTAAAAAATGCTGTATATGTTTGCCTACAGCCCAGTCTTACGGAGGTACTTTCTCAAGTGGATTTCCCTCCTCTCACATAACTACAGCCTATGCCAAGTTGACATAAAATTAGCTAGCTCAGACTGTTTCCAAGCTGCGCCCAAACTCAAGGTCCTCTTCATACTGTGGAGCGTTGAGACTGAGGCCTGCAGCACTGCACCCAGCAAGGCACATTACAGTTTAATTCTAGATTGTCTTACGTGGAACGCATCGCCCTGCAGGAGATAAGCCAAGTACAGTAGGTAACCATGCAAGCGTCTGCTTCCATTGAAATGGAGGGCTGTATTTGGTGACAAGCAGCTCATTAGCCTGAATCCCTTTAGGGGTCCCTGAACGCTAAAGACACAAACTGCATTCTTTGTAAACCGAAGCCCATGTTCTATCCTAACATGAGATGAAGGTGATTTGATTTTCCTTCAGTCTAATGAAGCTAAAGGTTCTAAGCACAAAGAAGTTTGCGGTTGTTAAGGAATCCTAGTAATTATCCACTTTAATCTCTTAATTGCTTTGTTCAGAGTATATTCAGAACCTGGATATGCCGGTGTGAAAACCGTATGAAAAGGACAATAGAGATTTTCATGATAGATATCACTGGGTTTATAGTCAGGTACTTTTTTTTTAATTGGAAATAAAATCACTGAGTTGAGTCATATCAAGAACAGGGAAGTGGCCCTCAGGTTCCTGCCCTCCTCCTACTTCAAACCCACTGTCCAGGAACACAGGAGGAGTTCAGTCACCCCCTTTCAGAGAGGCGGGGCTTAAGACTTGGTCTGGACCGCAGGTGCTTACTAATGACCACTTGGTGCCAGCTAACCCAGGAGGACAGACAGCTGCTCAGGGAGTCTAACCTCATCTCAGGGAAGAGCTGCGCCACGGGATGGAAACATATAGGTATCTCCACAGGGAACTGGCCTGCCCAGGACCTCATGTGAGTAAGGCAGGGGCCCTCGCACCCTGCGGCTT